TGCAGTATTGACAATGGAAGGAGCAAGTGAGGTACCTGGATATCCTTTTGAAACCTCTAGGTGTTCAGTGTCTGATAACTCCAGCCCTACTAGGATTCTTGCACTCTGCCTTCTCTCTGGCTCTTTGAGGAGAAGTGATGACTGCAGCTGAGGTTCAAAGTTCCCCTGCTCTTTCAACAGAGGGAGCAGAACGAAGTTCAAAGAAGCCAGAACACAGAAATACCTACGGTGGTCTTGAGATCCAGAGGAATTTTTGTATCATTTATCGTGCTAACAGGCAGGAGCCATGCATGCTCCAGCCAGGGATGGCGTGGTAGCATCACCCTAATGACAGGATTGCAAGGAACCTCTACAGGCTGGAACTTGCTGAATTTCCCATCCTTAGAGCTAGATTTTTCTATTTGATCAATTCCCAGTGTGGTAATCAAAGTGGTATCACTCTTGGAAATAGCCTAGAGGAACAAACAATACAATATATTGAAATGGAATGAAAACCAGGCAAAGGCACAGGTGACGTGCAACAGCTACCAACAAGTAGTGAGCTGCCTTGCTCAGGGCAGCATCAGAAAAAAAAAATAAGGTAAAGGTGGAAAAGGGAGTGGAATTTATTATCTAGGTTCAGCTATGTCTACATGGATTGAGCACGGCAATGTAAAATGTGTTTTTTCTGAACACTCAGGCTCAGCTATGGTTGGTCAAATTCAGGTAAGGTGATATCAGGAGGTAGGTACTCATTGGCCCCCTCAGGGGAAGAGGAGGGTAGGGCACTCACTGAAGCAGGAAGGTTGAGTCACTCAGCTCTATTCTCCTACAAGTAGTCATGCAACATATGAGATTAGATATGTAATCTGTACTATTGCCAAAGTGGTAAATGAATAAAGGAGGTTGCAAAAGGAACGGAAACTCATTTGAATGAAATTGTGTGTGAAAGTGAGTAGAAAAGACACTGCAGAAAACAATAAAAGAATAAAATCTTTAAAGTTAAAGGAGCTGAAATTTTACAGATTCTTAAGCAGTACTGCATCGCCAGAGCATTTTGCTGGCCATTTACAATGTTTCCCAGTTCCTAGTGAATAGCTCTTAACTTCCAAATCCTTCTCTCTCCTTTT